TCAACATAACTGTATTTTTGGTCCAATTTTATAAACAGTGAGGTATCATTGATTATAATTGTGTATTTATCTCAATCATTTACATTTTCCTTCACATATTGTAAAGCTTTATTAGTAGGTACACACCTATGTATAATGGTTTGGCTTCCTAGTGGATTCACCATTTCATCATTAGGAAATATTTCTCTTTATCTCTAGTGGTAATATTTCTTAAGTTAAACTCTTATCTGAATTTAATATTCCAACCATTTTGGTTTATTACTTGCATTGTATGTTTTTCTATTTTATTTTCAACTCCTTTGTATCTTTGTATTATTCCATTTCTTATAGACAACAATAAATTAATCTGTGTGTGTGTTGTTGTTGTTGTTGTTGTTGTTGGCTGCTTTCAAGAGTGCCTGTTTATCTTTGGTTTTCCTCAATTTGACTGTGATGTGATTTTATACTGTGTGAGATTTGTCAAGTTTTATTTTTGGTTTATATTTTTTATATATTTTTGGGGTTTTTTAAATTTTTATTTTTGAGATAGGCTGGCCTTGTACTATGTAGTTCAGGCTCCCCTCAAACTCACAGAGATCCTCCTGCCACAGCCTCCAGCTTGTCAAATTTTTTGAGTCTTAAGGTGTTCTTTAAATTTGGGAAATTTTCAGGTATTATTTTTTCATATATATTTTTCTGCCCCATTCTCTGTTATTCTTCTTTGACTCCTGTTATATTGCTTGAAATGATCACTGCTTATACTAGTCTATTTTCTTTTTCTCAGATTAGAGAATTTTTATTCATTGCAGATTTATGATCTGTATAATTTATTAAAAATGGGTGAGTTTTTAGTTTTTAAGCTTACAGTTTTTTGATACTGCTTATCTTTTCAGATTAGATAATTTTTATTCATTTTATTACAGATTTATTTTTAATTTATAAAAATGGATGAGTTTTTAGTTATGTTTTTCAGCTTAGAATTTTCATTAGGTTTTTTAAAAATAGTTTCTCTTTTGAGTTTTTCCTCTTTATCCTCATTCATTATGAATATATTTTTAAATCCTTCAACATACTATTTATAATCTTTGTTTTAAAATTTCTTGACTATCACTTTCTCTTTTCTTGTTCCTTCCCATGTTTACTGATTTTTTGATGTCATATATAATGCGCAGTTAATATTATATAGAGACCAGATTTTTGTTATGCTATTATAAAGAACGTCTGTATATGTTCCTCAGGCTGTTACCTTATGTAAATGCAGACTTCAAATTCAGTTTCCTTTGTGGTGGACAATATCTGACCTTATTCTTTTCTCTCAACTACCAATCATTACTGCTTTTTCATCATGTACAGTAGAGTCTTCCCTTGCAGATATAGGTTAGTGGTTGTCCTACATCTAGTGGTAGAGTTCACATGCATTTTTGAGGTTGATCTTGACAGAGACACCATTCCATTTAGAATTTCACCATAAGTTTTCAGCAGTAATATCAGGAAACTGTTTCCTAATGCCTCAAGCCAGTAAATCTGTGACTTTGTTACCCTGAGCCAGGTGCAGATTGGGTTGTACCTCTTGGCAAAAAACTGCAAATCCACAAGTCTTACATGATGTATCCTTTCACTTGAAGCTACAATCCAGTTTTTGCCTACTTAGGTTGCTCTCCATTGCCTTGAAATATTGTTTTATTCTTAGAATGGACAATTAGTCCAAATTTTCCTGCTATTGTCTGAAATCACTTCATAGAAAATAATTTTTGAATTTTTTTAAAGTCTCTTTCTCACTTGTAGTAGTGTAAATTATTAGCTAAATACCAGTTTCATTTAGACATTATTCTTTGCTTTAGCAGTATCATTGCAGTTTATTTTTTGACTTTTTTGTTTTTCAGACAGGTTCTTGGTGTGTAGTTCAGGCTGGCCTTGAACTCACTGTATAGCCCAGGCAGGCTTTGAACTCCTGACGATCCTCTCCTGCCTCAGCCTCTCAAGTGCTGGGATTATAGGTGTGCACCACTGCACCCAGCCTGTTTGGCAAATGTTGCATGAATCTTATATAATTGGGAAATAGAAACTTGACTGTTACTTGTGGCATTAAGGCTAAATTCCTCATTCTAGCATATGAGATCTCTTAATAATTGGTCTACATTATTTAAACTTTTTGTCTTTCAAGTATCACACAGTAAACCCATTGTTCAATATAATTTCTTTATTTTGAGTGCCCCTTGAGTTTTGCTGGTACTACTTCCCTGTACTAAACTGTACTACTCTTCTAGATTCTTCAAGATCTGTTTCATTGAGGTTTCCTGGCAGTCTTCTCCATTATTTCATTATGTACAGCATTTATACTCCCTATCAAAAATGTAATGAATATCAAAAGTGCTTGAAATGCTGAAGTCCAAATATAACATTATCACATTGTTTAGAATTTGAATATATGTAACCTGGTCTCCTTGAATTCTTACTACATATACTTTGTTTTACCATGTAGCCTATATGTTTTGTAAGGCAAAAGAGCCCATTGCTTTTTTGTTTGTTTGTTTATTTATTTATTTTGGTACCAAGGATCAAACTCGGGTCCTTGCGCTTGCGCAGCAGGTGGTGAAACCGCTGAGCTAAATCCCCGGCCCAGCTTTTTTTTAATTAAATAGTACCTCCTTAGCCATGTAATAAATATTGATTGAATTCTTTTTGGGTTATCTTTATATTTTTTAAAGACTTTATTTTTTAGTCTTAAACTATTGAAGGGTATCTTGGTTACTTCCAAGTTTTGACAGTTATGAGTGAAAGTGCTGTGTCACTTTTTGTGTGGACATATTTTCAGCTAATTTGCATAAATATTAAGGACTGCAAATGCTACCTATATGTAAGAGTTTGTTTAGTTTTTGTGAGAAATTGCCAAATTATCTTCCAAAGTGCCTGTAGCATTTTGCGTTCAGCAGCAGTAGCTGAGAGTTCCTGTTGCTCCATATCCTCACTAGCATTTGGTATCAACATTGGATTTGGCCATTCTAATAAGAGTATAGTGGTATCTTGCTTCAGTTTGGTTTTCTAAAGTCATATGATGTTAAACATCTTGTCATGTTTATTTTTCATGTATATCTTTTTAGTGAGGGATATGTTGAGTTCTTTTGCCTATTTTTAAAAATAAGTTTTTTTCTCTTGAGTTTTAAGAATTCTTTGTATTTTTTGGTAACAGTCCTTTATCACATAGGTCCTTTGCAAATATTTTCTCCCAGTCTGTGGCTTTCTGTCGTCATTCCCTTGACTGTTTTTCACACAGCAGTTTTCGATTTTAATGAAGTCTAGTTTATCAGTCATTTCTGTTGAACGTTGTGTGCCTTTGTGTTGTCTATAAAAAATTTTTGCCATACCTGAAGTCATCTAGATTTTTCTACTTCTTAGAGTTATTTTCTAAGAATTTTACTTTTTACATTTAGCACTTTGATTTATTTTGAATTAACTCTTGTGAAGGATGTAGGATTCATTTTGTAATGAATGTTTTTGTTCATCATTCTGTCACTATTTGTTGAAGACTTTTCTCCTTTGTGTCGCTCTGCTCCATTGTCAAAGATCAGTTAACTCCATTTATGTGAGTCTGTTTCTAGCCTCTCTATTATGTTTCTTTGATCAGCTTGTTTCTTTTTCGCCAATGCCATGCACTCTCGATTACTCTAGCTTTATAAATCTTGAAGTTAGGTAGTATCTCAGTTCTCCAACATGTTCTTCAGTATTGAGTTGACTCTTCTTGGTGTTTTGCCTCTCTGTATAAACTTTAGTTTGTTGACCTCCACAAAATAACTTGCTGGGATTTTGACTGATTGCATTGAGTCTATATATACATCACATTGGGAAGAACTGACATATTACTGACTCTTCATATCCATTAATCTGGAACATGCACTCATTTGTTTGGTATACTTCATCTTAGTTGTATTCCTTATATAAATCTTATATATATTCTGTTAGATTTATACAGTAAGTATTTCATTTTGGGGTCTTAATGTAAATCCATAAATGTTTTAAATTACGAATTCCACTTTTTCATTATAAGTGTTTGACTTTTACATATTAACTTTATATCCTGCAACTTACTGTCTTTGCTTAGTAGTTTCCAAGGTTTAGTCGTTACTGATTCTTTCAGATTTTCTCCATAGATGATCATGGTATCTATGGATAAATAGTTTTATTTCTCCCTTCTCGGTATGTATACCATTTGCTTCATTTAGGACTTGTGCTACAGTGTTGAAAAGCAATGGAGATTTTTGCCTTCTTCCTGAACTTGTTGGGACAGCTTTGAGTTTCTTTCTAAATATATTAAACGTGGGGTTTTTGTAGGTGCTCATTATCATGTTGGAGAAATTTCTCTCCATACTTAGTTTGCTGAGTTTTTATCATGAATATGTGTTAGATACATCAAATGCTTTTTCTGCATTTATTGATACTATCATGCAGTTTTTTTCTTTTTTATCCTATTGATGTGATAGGTTACAGTAATTTATTTTCTGGTGTTGAGACAGTCTTGCATGCCTGGGATATATCCCACTTGGTTGTGGTGTATACTTCTTTTTATATATTGTTAGGCTTGGTTTACCTCTATTTTGGGAGTTTGCACCTATGTTCATGAGAGATTTTAGTCTATAGGATTCTTTTTATGTAGTGCCTTTGTCTTGTTTTGGTATTAAGATAATACTGCCCTTGTAAATGATTTAGGATTATCATTTATACCCCACCCCCTTCTGTTCTCCAGAAGGCTTTGTATAAGACTTGTATAACTTCTTTAACTATTTGGTTGAATTCACCAGTGATTGCATCTGGGCCGGCTCTGTTTTGGAAAGTTACTAATTATTGATTCAGTTTTTTCAATAGGTAAAGGTTAATATTATCTGATTTGCTTGGAGTTTTGAAAATTGATGATTGAACATTAGGTTATATTGTCTTTTAAAATGTTTTCAGAATATTTTATAAGTTATGTGAAGTTTTTTATGTTTTTATGAGCTATTAACAAAAGTACAACTATTTTCTTCCAGCCTAGTGTATTAATTGTAACCTACAAGGAACCTGCAAAATCATCTACTCAGTTTGGATTCTATAAACAAGCTGAATGGAGGCCAGATAGTACCATGATAGCTGTTTCAGTAAGTAGATTTTTCAACTTTAACAGTGTTTTCTTATGAAATAATTGTATTGTATTTAAGATTGCTTCTCTTAGATGGCTTCCTTTTAATCCTTCAAATATTTAAGGATTTATCTTCCTACGATAAGAATTGTTGTACTAATTCTTTTATGTATGTACTATGTTCTGTTCTACTGTATCTTTGTTGACTTTATTACACCCTACCATCCCTAAACATGGAACCTATTATATGATTGTCTCACTTTCTTCCTTTCTTCCTAAAATCTCATCCAGTTTTTTAAAGCTATTTTCCATATTCACACACTACTCTTGAATGTATATTTACGTTCTGCCTTCCATTCACTCCACAAAATAATAAACTTTATGTGCTTGTATCATATTAAATTTTTATAGCTTTTGAATTTCTTTCTGCATTTATCTTATTCCATTACATGTGCCTATAACTGGTTAATTTTACCTTTTCAATGTATATTTTATTGCTGTCTTTAGGGGTGTCATTTTCATCTGATTTGCAGTGGCAACAATATATATGGTTAACATGTATTGAGCACTTCCATTGTAAGTACTGTTACAATCAATTTGCATGGATTATCTCATTTCATTTTTAGATCTGTGCTTTGAATTAAATTATCTTTCATAATACATTGAATAAATTGAGGCTCTGAAAATTAAGCCATATCCAAGGTCACACAAATGGTGTACATTGGACCAATAAAATATAAACTTGGGAATTCATGTTTTATCCTCTTAACCATTAGACAGACTTATCTTTCTATCAGTTTTCTTTCTAGTCTGTGTTGTATTATACTAATAATCAGAAAATATGCCAAATAGTCAAATATGTTGAATTATTCTGCACTTGCTATATTAGCAGTTGGAAGACTAACAGTCAGATTCTAGATCTACCTTGCTGCCTATTTATATATGGTCTGTGGACTCAAAATAATTTTTATATATTT